TATGGATTATTTATTGTTATAGTACATAGGAGCCAGGGGAAGAGCAGGCCTCACTACCAAGGTGTTGCCTGACCTGGCTACCTAATTAACCTTCTTAATTTTCTTTATTATGTAAAATGATTTATATGTAAAAGATTTTTGAGGGTTAATAAATTGCATTATTATTATTATTATTATTAAACGTCAATGTGACACAAATTCAATGTTACTAACTTGTAACCAACTTCACAACAATTTGTCAAAATTAAATGTCAGCCCAACCCAACCAACTTCACAACAATTTGTCAAAATTAAATGTCAGTTTTATAAAACGTCGTTTTCTTTACGAAAATTAATTAATTTATGCTTAAATCATACGAAAAAAGGAATTTGTTTAGGTTCTTTTAATGTCAAACATTTATAAACTTCTAAAAAATTGAATTAAATTGACGTTTTTTGAACTTTTAACGTTTCAAATAATTATTATTAGTCTGGTCAAGATGGCTACCCGTGAATAATGATTATTATTCACCGTTATTATTCACTCCGTGAAAAATGACTACCATTTTGTTTTAGAAAACTCATTCATAAGGTATATATTATAAGGTAGTCGTGGACAAAAGTATTAATAACATTTATTCGCTATATAATACTCTTTAATTTGATGAATAGCACGACCAGATCGGTCATACCCCTAAAAAAAATCATAGCTACAAAACGTATCCATAGAAAAAATTTTGAATGTGATTACATAAGAAAAATACAGTGGCGTCAAATGTACATTTCATGAATTTTCTTTTAGACCAGTCATGACTTTCATATTACCTTTAAAATAAAGTCAAGATCAAAATAATATCAATCACAACAATTCTAGTTTTTTATAATTTTTATTTATTAAAATTATTAATTAATTCAACTCTAAGTCTAATTCGTGACTTAATTTATCAATATTAGTAAAAATATTATCAAGAACTTCTTGAACCTCTTCCCCACTATGCATAACACCTTCTTTTGTAGCTAAAGTCAAGTGAAAACGATCATCATACGTAAATATTGTTAATAGAAAACCTAAAAAAAAATATTTATTTCATAAATCCGATTTATTATGCTATAATAAACACCGACTTACGTGAGGTATAGAACTGTGGAACAAAAGGAATATTTGCTTCCACTTTAAATCCTGCTAGTTTTCCCGCTCTAAAACCTACAACGTTAGTTATTGTCGATGTTACATTCATGATAGTTGTAACCAAATACTTTAGTATAAAAGCAGGCATCATATGTACTATGTTGTAAACTGAATAAAACGCCTTAAATTTGGAACATTTTTGAATTAGAAATGATCAAACCTTTTAACTTACCATTCCGTCAATGGAATATTTAGCTTTATTTATTTCTTCCCTAAGAAATTTAATTCGATCCATCATCGTTGATTTCTTTTGCATGGTGAGAGGTACGTTTATCGCAATTATCGTTGAATTATTTGCAATATCGTTATAATCGTAAGTTCCGTTAATAATACTAACTAAATTTTCATCGATTGGCCTAAATACCACAGCCACTGTACCTGTACTGAGTTCCTTGTCTCGTTTATCCAAAACTTTTTCTATGCTAGCTATTAACCCCGCAATTAATACTTCAGTAAACCCTAATCCGAGTTTATTTTTAATTTTTTTAATTAACGGGACATACTTGATACAACGTTCTATATAAAACGCCATGTGACGTTCGTTATTTATTGTTTCAAATTTTTGCCCATCTCTTTCAAATGTTAAAAAGTTTCGGTAAACGTAGGCGTCATCAAGTGTAAATATAGGTTTCGTTGTATATTTTGGATCGAGTTTTGTAGGTTTTGGTTGTACGTCGGGAGTTGCGAATTTTTTGGCTATACCTAATAGGGATGGACCATCACCTAAACAATGCCTAAATACAATCAGTATCACTTTTTGTTGTTCTTTTTCATTCCATAAAACGCGTTGTGTAAATATTTCCCCATACCACAATCTTTTCCCATTACACATATTACGTAAAGACTTCTTTTTAATATGTTCTAATATTTCGTCACGAGTCAAACATTCTTTATCGTTAATTTTAGTAAAAACGCAACAATCATCAGAATTAACTTGGTTCTTTACGTAATAACTATACCCCAAACAACTTTCGACGACGTAAGATAATTTCTTGGATGAGTTGTGTATATTTTTGAATAATTCTTGAATCCGTTTATTGAAATCTTCATCATCTTCCTTCTGGTTCAAAATTACAAGGGTTGCAATGGATATTTTTTCTTCTGTACTTTCAAACACAGCGTCTTGTCCTGGTAATCTACCACCGTAATTATTGCCTAGTTTCAATATTAACCATAAATCGAGTCCGAATAAAAATATTTGAATTAATAAAAATGCAAAAGACAAACACAGCATGATTATAATTGATGCAATAACGAGACATGCTTGTATTAGTAAATATAGAGGATATGGGAGTTTTTTCTTTAATCCTGTTGGTATCCCTAACAAGTACTAAAATTTAAATATAAAAAAATAATAAGATCGAGAAAAATTTAAGATTTACCTTAATCGCGCAATAAATAGTTACGAAGTGATATAATAACAGTTTCATGATGTTATTTTATTTGACTAAACTGAAAATGAAATGTACATCGTTTTATATGTCGTTTTGAACGTATTTAATCATTATGTGCTATTTTTGTAAAGTTTTTTAAAACTGCAATTTTAACGCAATTATTTCACAATTAGATATATGTAATTATTTAATTACAGTCATATTAAAACAGATTAACTATTTTTAAAACAATAACAATTAAAATTGTGCGTTAATAATCTCACATGTACGATTAACCGGGGAAATTTAATTGTAATTGAAGTAACCCCACAATTTAAGAATGAGTTATTTTTGTTACAAGAAATAATGGTATGCATCCGGATTTTGCCTGGGTATCTGTTGTAGGAAGGTGGTGAAGTAAAAACGAGTAGATAATTAATTCATACTAAATTTTATTATAAACATTTTCAGTATTAGTTTATTGAAATTAAGAAATGAAAGTTATTTTAAATTGAAGCTTAAAGCTTTCTGTTTAAATTGATATATAATAATCGTTGGGTTGGATTGCAAAAATATTGAAAAAAAAGATGTTGAAACAAAACTTACATTTTCGTATAACTTAAAAATGTCAAAAAAGATGCTAATTTAAAAATTCCTGGAAGCCGTATTTATTCAAATTAAGGAATGAGACTTATTCTAAATTAAAGCTTAAAGCTTTCTCTTTAAAACGGTGTATAATAATTGTTGGGTTGGATTGGAAAAATATTGAGAAAAAAAATGTTGAAATAAAACTTACATTTTCGTATAACCTAAACGTGTCAAAAAGAGATGCTAATTTAAAAATTCCTAGAAGCCGTATTTATTGAAATTAAGGAATGAGACTTGTTCTAAATTAAAGCTCAAAGCATTCTCTTTAAAATGGTGTATAATAATTGTTGGGTTGGATTAAAAAAATATTAAGAAAAAAAAATGTTGAAACAAAACTTACATTTTCGTATAACCTAAAAGTGTCAAAAAAGATGCTAATTTAAAAATTCCTGGAAGCCGTATTTATTGAAATTAAGGAATGAGACTTGTTTTAAATTAAAGCTCAAAGCTTTCTCTTTAAAATGATGTATAATAATTGTTGGGTTGGATTGGAAAAATATTAAGAAAAAAAATATTGAAACAAAACTTACATTTTCATATAACCTAAACGTGTTAAAAGAGATGCTAATTTAAGAATTCCTGGAAGCCGTATTTATTGAAATTAAGGAATGAGACTTGTTCTAAATTAAAGTTCAAGGCTTTCTCTTTAAAATGATGTATAATAATTGTTTGCATGATTTGAGTTGGACTCACTTTGAGTATGAATGAGCGAGAGTTTGGTTTAGGTTGGATTTGGTATTGTTGTGGATGGATTACGTTAGGATTGCGTAATTTGGGTTGGACATGGCACACAATCTTTAAATGCGCTCGTTTCTATGACGAAAGAAAACAGATAGAAATAAAAATAGGGAATAAGTTTGCAGAAAGCAACGTGGCAGAACGCATACTCAAAACAGGGACCACAGAAATCGTGATGGACTTCCTCAGAAGAGATGATGAAGGAGGAAGTTTCAAAAAACAAAAAATTATTACGCGAATTAAGTGATAAATACGTATTATATTTGTTGTAGCTGTTAGGTGATTTTAGTGATGTTAGTGACATTAGTGCTGTTGAAATCATCGGATTGCTATTTTATGGATGTTAAAAGGTATTGTATTTTATTCATTTTTTTGTCAGAATAAATTAATTCATCTTTCTCTTTCCAGTTGAGCTTCGAAGTAAAATCCAAGGAAAACAAACATCCATTTGGTGAGTCGTTTCCAAATTTATTAATTTTTACCAAAACAAGTCGGGTGCTAATTCGCGATTTGAGCAGTGTTACATTTCGGAAAAAAATCATTTTAGACAAACGCTACGATTCAACAAATTTTTGCATTTTGTGGTTGAAAAATCATAAAACTTTAATTATTAATATTGTATTATGTATGAACATTTTCAAAACACTGTTTTTCGACATATATATATATATATATATATATTTTATTTTGAAATCCACCAAGAGATTATCATTTGTAACGAAGTTGTCAAGAAATACTTGTGGACTCGTTGGATCAGTCCCCTGTTTTTGGAGTAATATTTTGACTACTTTTTTGTAATTTTGGCCAATGGTTTATCATCGCTGCTAACGTCGTCGGAACTTGGATTACTGTTATCCTCCTCACACATAAATACCTCTATTTGACCAAATACATCATGCAGCAATGTGGCAGTAACCTGTCCTCGTCGGCATCTTCTTCATCCGTCACAACACTAGGTTTTGGCAGTATGACCGCTAATTCGTAGTCACTTTCTTTTAAAATAGCAATAACTACTTCCTCCAAGCCATTATAACGATTAGAAACGTCAAAACGTGCCGAACTCATCGTAGCAGAGATCTGGATAAAGGTGTAATTGTTATATGGATTCGGCCACTGTACCCAAATAGGTACAACATTGCTTTAAGCATGGTATTTTGTTATTATACATCTTTTTTTTCCTTTTGTGCTTGAAAAATCATAAAACTTTAATTATTAACAAGATAACTAAGATAACTAAGATACAGCAATAAAAAGAGTAAGCTAAAAGGAGAAGCAACCGAAAATATTGTAATATTTGTAACGATAACGTTGCCAGAAATGGGATTGATGCTGACATGGTGTTATTATGGTGGGAGGTGCTTTCCAAGACTGTTCCAAATCCACCTATAGCCTGCCAAATTTTCTGGATTATTTGCAAAAGCATTGACATAAAGAATGTTTTAATGTCAGAAAATGGGCAAAAAAGCAGCAGCTGTTCAGAAGCCCTTCCAATAACAAAGGTATTTATTTTGATAGATATTGATAGATTTGAGTTGCTACAATAAACATCGACTCACGTGCGTTATGGAACTGTGGGAGAAATGGAATTGTTGATTCCACTCTACATCCTGCTAGTTGAACCGCTTTTAATCCTCCAACGTTAGTTACTCCCGCTGTTACATCAGTAAAAATTTTCTGGCAATATCTTTGTATAGAAGCAGGGAATATATTTGCTATATTGTAAACTGCATAAAACGCCTTAAATTTGAAAGATTTTGAATTAAAAATTGTCAAATCTTTCAACTTACCATTCCATCAACGGAATATTTAGCTTTAGAGATTTCTTCGCCAACAGATTTAAGTCGATCCATCATCGTTGAGTTTTTCTGCATGGTGAGAGGGGTGTTTATTGGAATTACCGATAAATTATTTGTAAGATCATTATAATCGTATGTCCCATTAATGATACTAACTAAATCTTCATCGATTGGCCTAAACACCACACCCACTGTACAGAAATTAATTTTTTTGCCTCTTTTATCCAAAACCTTTTCTAAACTAGCTGTTAATCCTGCAATTAAAATTTCAGTAAATCCCACTCCGATTTTATTTTTAATTTTTTTAGTTAACGGAACATATTTGATGCTACGTTCTATATAAAACGCAATGAGACGTTCGTTATTTATTATTTCAAATTCTTCCCCATCTTTTTCAAGTTTAAAAAAGTTTCTGTAAATGTAAGCGTCATCTAGTGTAAATATAGGTTTTGTTGTATATTTTGGATCGAGTTTTGTGGGTTTTTGTTGTTCTTCGGGAGTTGCAAATTTGTTGGCTAAACCTATTAGGGATGGACCATCACCTAAACAATGATTAAATACAATCAGTATCGCTTTTTGTTGGTCTTTTTCATTCCATAAAACGCGTTGTGTAAATATTTCCCCATACCACAACCTTTTCCCATTACACATATTCCTTAAACAATTCTTTTTGATATGTTCAAATATTTCGTCACGAGTCAAACATTCTTTATCGTTAATTTTAGTAAAAACGCAACAATCATCAGAATTAACTTGGTTTTTTATGTAATAGCTATACCCCAAACAAGTTTCGACGCCATAAGATAACTTCTTGGATGAGTTGTGTATATTTTTGAATAATTTTTGAATCCGTTTATTGACATTTTCATCATGTTCCTTGTGGTTCAAAATTACAAGGGTTGCAATGGATGTTTTTTCTTCTGCACTTTCAAATACAGCGTCTCTTCCTGGTAATCTACCACCGTAATTACTGCCTAGTTTCAATATTAACCATAAATCGATTCCGAATAAAAATATTTGTGTTATTAAATATACAAAAGAAAAACACAACATGATTATAATTGATACAAGAATGAGACATGCTTGTATTAATAAATACAGAGGATATGGAACTTTTTTAAATAATCCTGATGGTATCCCAAAGAAGTACTAAAATTTAAATAATAAAAAATAATAAGATCTAGTAAAATTTAAGATTTACCTTAATCAGGCAATAAATAGTTATGAAATGATAGAATAACAGTTTCATGATATTCTTTATTTGACTAAACTGAAAATGAAATGTACATCGTGTTATATGTCGTTTTAAATACATAAATCAAGTGTTATTTGTTTATGTGCTATTTTCGTGAAGTGTAATTTTTAAATTTGCAATTTTTCGGAGTGATTTGAACGATTTCGCAATTATTTCTCAATTAGATAGAGTAACAAACAATTTTTTAAACAACAACGATTAAAGTTGTGCGTTAATAACTTAAAAAACATTATTGCTCTCGTGTAGTTCTGCTCTCAGATGCGTAAATATCGAGAAAATTACGATGAATATTGTTGATTTAGTAGTTGTTAAAGGGTTAAGAAAATATGAAAATTGGATGAATATGTTGCTTTTTCAAGTTGTTAATGGTAACACTCTGGAAATGGAGCATGTCACAAAAAAACTCTTACAATTAGAACGAAAGTTGTAGCTGATTTTAATTTTAGTAATATATTACAATTTTGCTGTCAGATGCGTGAATATCGCGTCAAAACTAGAACTAACAGTAGCACTATCACTAGAACTAACACTAGACCTAGAACTAGACACTTTCGGGTTAAGCCGCGCCTCTATTGAAAAAAATATATTTGCTATTTTAGCAAAAATAAAAGCTGCCAGAAAAATAAATCTGTGGATTAAAAATTCGTATAAAATCCAATTCTTGGAATATGAGTATCAAAATTTCCCAAAGTGTCTTCTTTCCAATGAACCAACCCGTTTTGGAAAATAACTTTTAGTTTTTACAAAAATAATATTTGAAGTTTTGATCAAACTTTTCGATGTTGCAATTTTCATCGATAACTTTCAAAATTCGCTATAAAATTAATTTCTTGAAGGATCCATGTGGAAATATCACCAATTATTAATTGAAATATCTTCCTTTTAATGCAACATGCCGTTTTAAAAAATCGCTTTTAGTTTTTCAGAAATAAATTTTTGAAATGATCGACAATTTTTTCGAATTTTGCAATTTTCGCCAATTAAGTTTTAACAATTCGCTATAAAATTCATTTCTTGAAAGATCCTTGTGATAATATCACCAATTATTAATTACAGTGTCCTCTTTTTAATGCAACAAGCAGTTTTGAAAAATCGCATTTAGTTTTTGAGAATTAAATTTTTGAAATTATCAAAAATTTTTTCAAATTTTGCAATTTTCGACGATTAAGTTTTAAAAATTCGTATAAAATCCAATTCTTGGAATATCAGTATAAAAATCTCCCAAAGTGTTAACAAAAGTGTCTTCTTTCCAATGAACCAACCTGTTTTGAAAAATAGCTTTTAGTTTTTGAGAAAACAATATTTGAAGTTTTGATAAAATTTTCGATGTTACAATTTTCATCGATAACTTGCAAAATTCGCTATAAAATTAATTTCTTGTAGAATAATTGTTGAAGTATCAACAATTATTAGTTAAAGCATCCTCTTTTTAACGCAACAAGCCGTGTTGAAAAATCGCTTTTAGTTTTTGAGAAATAATTTTTTGAAATTATCGACAATTTTTTCGGATTTTGCAATTTTCGCTGATTAAGTCTTAAAAGTTCGTATAAAATCCATTTCTTGGAATATGTGTTTGAAAATTTCCCAAAATGTTAATAAAAGTGTCCTCTTTCCAATGAACCAACCCGTTTTGAAAAATAGCTTTTAGTTTTTGAGAATACAATATTTGAAGTTTTGATAAAATTTTCGATGTTGCAATTTTCGTCGATAACTTTCAAAATTCGCTATAAAATTCATTTCTTGAAGGATCCTTGTGGAAATATCACCAATTATTAATTAAAATACCATCCTTTTAATGCAACAAGCCGTTTTGAAAAATCGCTTTTAATTCTTGAGAAATAATGTTTTGAAATTAACAACAATTTTTTCGAATTTTACAATTTATTCCGATTAAATTTTAAAAATTCGTATAAAATCTATTTCTTAGAATATGAGTTTGAAAATTTTCCAAAGTGTTAATAAGAGTGTCCTCTCTCCAATGAACCAACACGATTTGTAAAATAACTTTTAGTTTTTGAGAAAACAATATATGAAGTTTTGATAAAATTTTCGATGTTGCAATTTTCGTCGATAACTTTCAAAATTCGCTATAAAATTTATTTTTTGAAGGATCCATGTGGAAATATCACCAATTATTAATTAAAATATCCTCTTTTTTAATGCAACAAGCCGTTTTGAAAAATCACTTTTAGTTTTTAAGAAATAAATTTTTGAAATAATCGACAATTTTTTCGAATTTTCCAATTTTCGCCAATTCGATTTTAAAAATTCGTATAAAATCCATTTCTTGGAATATGAGTTTAGAAATTTCCCAAAATGTTAATAAGAGTGTCCTCTTTCCAATGAACCAACCCGTTTTGAAAAATAGCTTTTAGTTTTTGAGAAAACAATATTTGAAGTTTTGGAAAAATTTTCGATGTTGCAATTATCATCGATAACCTTCAAAATTCGCTATAAAATTAATTTCTTGAAGGATCCTTGTGGAAATATCGCCAATTATTAATTAAAGTATCTTCTTTTTCCAGTTGCTTCGTTAGTTAAATCAGTATCAAAAAAGTTCATTTTATATCTTGGATCCAAGTAAGTTGACGTATCTTATCAGCTTTCTTATTAATTTCATTTTTATTCAAATATCGCAATTGTGTGATAATGTAGGGTATCACTTCAGATAGATATGCCGGATAACCGGATATCCGGAATACATCGATATTTTCTTCATTTATCTCTCTTGCCATTTTGTAATTTTTCTTTGCAGATACTTTGTTATATTTGCTTTTTCCTAACTGCATCATATAATAATATGCAGTAATATGCAGTGTATTAATGGTGTTAGTACCGTTTATTCTATCTGTTGCAATGTTTGTTAAGATGTTATCAATGCAGCTTGCAGATTGCGTTGTAATTAGCTTAGAACTGATTATGGACTATGGTTTTTCGTTATAATATGAACCTTTTTTGTATTCATAACTTACTTGTCGGACAATCCATTTTAGCATTTCAACATTTCCACTTCATTCCTGGATAATTATCATATCTAGACTATCTATATGCAGTTGTAGCATATAGATTACAATTTGTTGATGACATATTCAAAGATTTTTGGCTTTATTTTCCAGCAAAGTTATATACAGATACATAATACCTAGTAGTACAAGATTTGCTCCTGTTCGTATAAAAAAAAAACTTTCTTCGCCTTCTCGGTGACAAGGAAAAAGGGGTGTGAACGAAAAGTCGTCGGTGTCGATCTGTCAGACGATTGATGGTCGAAAGAGCCAAGAGCACGGTCGTCGGTAATGCGTTCGTTTTCGACGCCACAGATAATGTAGATACCGACGCCCATCGTCGTCGTTCGTCCGGTCTACGACGACATGGAGTGCGATAAATGACGGCGACGCCGACGCCTCATAGATAACTTCTACTCTCTTCGGCTATGTCATATTTGGGATCACTTTTTAGCCAAATTTAAAATTATTTGAGTCTAAAATAAGAGCATAAAGAATAAACTTAGTTTTATATAAAGCAAAGTGTAAAAAATTCGTGAATTTCGTCTCTTTTAAGATTTCAGTTATAATTGTAAAAGTTCTACGGAAAAAGTTAATAACGAGCCGATGGAAACGACTGAGCTTTTGTCATCGACACTTTGCCTTTTAAATTAAAAAACTTTCACACAGAAAAAAGTCGATTCGTTCGTTTTTATTAATTTTTTTTTTAGTCTAATGGCTAACATATATAAACAGTTTAAGAATAATAAATTTTCGAAAAAGCTTTTGCGGTATGGAGGAAGCTCTTTGGCTTTGCGAGAACGAAACGATCTAGATGCGGCACACATTTAGAACTTGTCTACTTTTTCTCCTAAATCGCCGATTAAATAAATTAAACTGCTCGCGTTAGCTTCGCCGCCACCAACGGCGGATAAATAAATAAATTACCGAAGAGGAGGAGGTGGCAGGCGGTCGTCGCTTTTTTTTAAGGGGGGTGGCGGCTGCTGCCCAAATGGTGCGGAAATGCAATGGCCTCTCCGACGAACTAATGCGCACCGACAAGAAAAATTGCTCCCATCTACGGCTTTACAAAGATTAACTGAACTGATATATGTGCGGCCTGCAAAAAAAACACGCTTTAATTGCACCAACGGTACCGGAAATAACGGAAATAAGGGAACAAACTACATTTTCCCTAACAACCTTTTACCTTTTTCTACTGCACTATAAAACTACCCACGAAACTAATTCTAACTCGATTGATTATCAACATTTAATTGTTATTGAAAGAAGATTATTGAATAGTATGCAACCAATATCACAGTATTTTTATTGCAATACGCGACTTGCGTATGATTCGTATTGCACTGTAATATTGGTGGCATACTTGCAATGATGACGTCGGGTACGATAATTAATTAACACACTGTATTTGTGCTTTTATTAAATCGGTATTGTTAACAATACTACTAAATCAATACTCATTTCTCAATAACGCTACATAGAAGCTAGATTAAATATTATTCTACAGAAAGGAGGAGTCCTGGAATTAAAAGGGATAAATTCAAAGAGTGAACACGTAGAATTCGTAATAAACTTTACAAAGTATTTTAAAAAGGCTTTCGAATCGATTTTCACGGTATTGAAACACTTCGTACCAGAATTAACCAAATTATTAATGTGGTTGAATGGATTACTTCGAGATTTTAAAATTAAAAAAGTTCGAGGAAATCCCACTCGTACATTAGAACGAAATGAAAACACTAGAGAGGCTACCTAATAATGTATTATTCAATACATTTATATTTCAATTCATTCTGCAAAATGCAATTTCCTGGAAATGTATACAAAAGAAATTATTTTTACTTCTGTATCTTATCAAAATTATTAAGTTATCTTCAGACGATACATAAAACTCCTACTGAGCTCTCCTATCACACACTTCCTTTACAAACATAAAGTGATAATGGCCGAAATCGATGTATTTTAAATTTACCTACTATCAATAGACTTGTACTATGGATAAATCCAAAGTCCAA